AAAAGAGAAAAAGGAGTTTTCTGCTGATACTCTGCCGATTTGTACATGTGAGACTGAGGATGGCCTTGTTAACTTTTTTGTAATTAATACCTTCGGATTTTTATGTTAGTGGTAGATATGCAAGAATGAGACAAATCTGCATAGTAAACCCATTAACTGTCTTTTTACTAGTCCTGGGACCAGACTATCACCTAGAAAATTTGAGACTTGGGACATCCAAGTGCTAGAGATTGAGTAATCAGTACCTCTACACACTTATAAAAATTATCTCTGTGCTGCAAAAAGAAAGTTTGAAGGAAATAAAGTGCAGAAGTAATCGAGGTCTATACCACATCTGTGAGCAGTAAGTGCAACATGAGCAAGAAAAAAAGCAAACTAGCTCTTGAGGCAACTGCACGGGTTACATCGGTCTTGGAGGCTGAGACAAAGCAGCTGAAGCTACTGCAGTTAGTTATGCCTTCACTGCATTGCTTCCCAAACAGACTAAATTAAGAAATCATACTTAAGACGTCTGTTCTATAAATACCTCTGTTTTCATTTAAATGAACATGTAGCCCATTTGAAATATCTCCTGTGACAAATTGTTTAATTGAAATATGCATGAAACAGGTCAAAGAAAGAATACCAATCTCCAGAGAGGAACAGACAGAGAAACTTTCCTGAATTTTACCAAGATATTACGCCCCGCTTCTGTGAAAGTGAGTATGTAACAGAATTAAGTATCTTGATTACATTTTGTATTGAACTGCCTGTATTGCTTTGATATGGTGCAGAATTGAAAAAAAAAAAAAGGGGGGGGGGGGGGCATTCCCTAACCTAGTAGTATATCACAGAGACAGTTGTGCCTGCACAAGAGGGCAGAGGAGAAAAAAAAAATAAGTCACAGGAGCAGGCAAGACTACCTTAATAGTGCAGCTTATTTTCAATTAATTACAGGCTTTGATTTTTTTTTTTTCCTGAGGCCAAGTAGGCAGTAAAGTGCCCACAGGATGCATTCAGTCCCAGCTGAAGAGACATACTGCCTAAAACCTCAGAGGAGATTTTTCTGTCCGTCTCTTCCCTCCCGCCCCCCAAGGTAAAAATCCCAGGAGTTGCAATTTCTTTAAGTTAATTTATTTGGAACAATTTCCAAAGAACAGCAGACTATAGCTTCAATGAAGAAAACCAAGGTTTTGAGACAAAACTGCAACATTATGATTTAATGAAAATAAAGAAGGCGGCTAAGCTCTTCTATGCTTGACTGACAAGACATGCAGATCTCATTTTCCATTCTAAAGAAACTAGTAGTGAAAGGGTCTGGACTGAGTATGCCAGACAGTGTAAGTAAAAACAGAGGTCAATACACTGTGTCAAACTCCTGCCAACTTCCTTACCAGAACTGTAAAACAGTTTACCGTAACACCTTGAGCCCTACAAATTGTAGACAGTTGTTTTTTTAAGCCAGGCATTTACCCAGATTCTTCTACTGCAAGAATTCTTCTAGTTAAAGTGAGCCAGAAAAGTAATTTAATTGCACTTCTGTTTCTTGGTCCAGGGAAAATTCGGGAACTTTACCCCAGCACTGCTTTAAGGAAAAATAGGAACTCCCCAGTGAGACAATGTAGATAATATAGACAAGCATCTTGCAAACAGCAGACTCATGCAGCAGTGCTATTATCCAAGATGTGAAGCAACAATAACTGCCTGGGCCAAAAAATGTCTCATCTCTAGGAAGAACTTCAGCCTTTAGATCTGATATCTAGGTCTTTGCTTACTTAACTGTATCATTTAATCAGAAAACTGCTTCCAACCATAAGGGATGGCCCTGAACAGAAGAGAGAGAACACATAACCAAGTATGCTGAGCAGTCCTGGAAAATGCCCCAACCCAATGCTGCAGTACCTGGGCATCGGCTAAAGCAATCCTTATCACAAAAGGTGTACGGTCAAAATGCAATGTGGCTGAAGGCTCATCCTAGAAGAGACACCAATGCACAGCCAAAATGGAAGAATGTAAGCTGGTAGTACCAAGCCCAGTCCTGAGAGGATGCATTAAGACACCTTTTACAGGCTTCCGTCCTAAGCAATAGCAAGGATTTAAGCTAATGGAGCAACTCTGCTTCCTAATAGTTACTACAAAGAGGGTGAGGGAAATCAGTTGATTTAAATACATATCTCCTGCACATTTTGATCATATCGCCTTTGGGGTTTCAGTGGTTTTTAAGCTCCCTCATAGCATGATCTTTCATGACTCTCAATAGCAGACGGTTATTATTGTCTTTTCCTCTGGTCTCTGTGTATGCATCTAGATAAAATAATCCTTTCACTTAAGACACAGCAGGACTACAGCTGCTACCTCAAAATATTCCTAAACATGCCTAGGAAAGTAGCAAACTAAAGGGTTGGAATGGAAACATTAAACATCTTCCACAAACCACATTCACCTTCCAACATACATTAAAAGGAAAGGTGTAAGTCCTCTTGGATTCACCTACACAGCAAGTTTCCTGACTCCACTCTGTTATTGACAGTTCACACACTGTCCTTTTAAGTACTGAATTTCTCAACTGGTTCACCCCTCGCCCACAACTGCAGGCATTGTCTAAAATTCTGAAGTCTCCTTTGAAATGAAAGAAAAATCTTACTTTCTTTAACAGGGAGCAAAGGACAAAGGCAGAAAACTATATGGCTCTTTTTCACATTGGTTCACAGAGCGGTAAAAAGAATACAAAGAGTATTTTATTTCACTTTCATAACATGGTTGTGCTTTTCACCTTATAGAAGAAACACAGAATTCTCCATTATCAGTTAAGACAAGTTTGTCCTTTATTTCCAAATAATACTGTCTTTTCTTCATTGAAAGCCTTCCTTGAAAGTTAAGTCTTGTTTGTGCTTGGGTTTGGGTTTGTTTTGGGGGTTTTGGTTTTTTTTTTTGTTTTGTTTTTTAACACAAACTGCTTTGTGACTACAATGAAATAAACAAACCCAAATATACCAAAGCACACAGCATTTCATTCTCTGCCTAGAAGCAGATAAATGTACATTTCCTTTACCTTCCTGCCCTTTGCTCCTTCTGAAAGAAAACAAGATTTCCTTGATTTCATATCAAAGTATATTTTAAAGCTCTCAAGCAGTAGATAAAACAGAGAAAAAAAAAATCAACAATTAAATTCAGTCTGTGAACCATCAGCAGAGTGGAACAGAAGGTGTTGGACAGACCAAAAAATTAGCAGTGTTTCTCATCCACTTAGAAGTTGAACAGTCAACCAAAAACAATGGGGAGCAAGAAGCATCAAGCACAATAAACAAATGGAAGTTGAACCCTGCTAAGTCTCTAGATACAGTTTGTCTGCTACAAGCCCCTACACAAGGCTTTCCAATTGCTAAGTACTTCACAGACCAGGGAAGAGAGAGCTCTTTAAGACCTGGGGATTCCTAGCCTGAGACTATCTCAAAAGCTGATTCTTCTCACCACAGCCCAGCTCCTAGAACTTTTTATGGAATGGGCGGGGCACTTATATCAGGTATCTGTTCTGAGAAAAAGTGCCCATCCCATACCGAAATTATGCTGCTTTGGCTCTGGCCAAGGCATATACATAAGCATTAGCAAAAGGCACCTCTAAGACTGTTTTGGTAAGGTAGTTTTCTTTCACCGACCCAAATACCTTGCAGATCAGGTTATGCTATAAGCAGAGTAAAGGCTAGACTTTACCCTTGTTTTTCCTCTCTAGAAAATTATAGGCAAGTCCACCAACATGCAAAAAAAGACTGTGTGTGTATATACACACACACACATATATATATTAAAAAACCCAACTTATTCTAACATCTGTTGAAAAAACAAAATACCCATTTATCCCTTCTTTCTTCCTCCTTCTGTGCCTCTCCAATATTGCCCTTCAAACAGGGGACAGTTATTCCAAGTCTTCCTTCAGAATTCATCACGTCTGACATGAAGACCCTTCCTTCCACATCTGTAAGTCAGTAACCCTATCTACCTTTTATAGTGTGAGGCATTAGGAATTATGGAGCATTTTATTTTTCCAAAGCTATGCAAGTCATTTATTAAATCCTCAACTTCTCCAAGATAATACCAAAAAAAAAAAATTAACAGGAATTCATTTGTCTACAGATCAGAGAAAGAGGTTAAGTTTTTTTTTCCTCCTCTGCACATCCACACAGGTATTCTGAGAAATCCAATGCAAGTTTTTACTTCCCCAAGTGGCCATGTCACTACTCTTTCTGAATGCTTAGATGAGAAGGTTGAACATGAGCAGCTTGGTTTACTGCACTGGCATGGTCTTCATGACACTATTTGACAAAGTAAAACTAGCCAAAACCATTCTGAACATTTCTAGCACTACAGTTCTGCTTCCTAGGTTCAAGGTCTGTAGGTTCCACTTAGTCTAGTCAGATGGGCAAACTCAAATCTTTTGCTTGCCTTCTCAGCCTTATTTGGTTTCACTCACAATGCCTCCACCAATACCACTATACTTACCAGCACTTTTCAGGGTGGAAGATCTTCCTGCTATTTATCAAGTATTTCCACTGCATAATTAAAGTGCACCCAATGCACAGTAGCTAAGGGCCATTTGGAATTCAGTGAACTATTCACTTAAAATCACTCTAGGTAACAATTTATGATTTGCCTTGGCAGGCAGCTAAGCCAAAGTGCTCTGAATCTGTGATCCAGCTTTATTTCAGAGAACAAAAGTTACCAGCTAATCTTCAAGACTGAAATGCTTCCACCATCCCCCCAGTGGCTTAGAAAATAATCTGTTGTTATTCTAATGTATTTTCTTGTTTGGTTGGGGGTGTGTTTGGTTTTTTAAACTTTTTATTTCCATTCAGATATTTTACAGGCTTCTGACTGTTTGGTAAGTTGAACCATCCCATACCTTTCCACCCATCCCCCACTTTCTCCCTACACACACTTGCACAGTACTCCTTTGCTGCTACCCAGCTGTACTCCTTTGCTGCTAGCAGTAGCAGCTTCAGAATCAGAGGCGGGGAGGGACTTACACTGGTCACTCGACGGTAGATCTGCGCAGCATTTTGGCACTCGGAATAAGGATACTCAGAGGTGGCCATCTCTAGCATACACATCCCAAAAGCATATACATCAACGGATTCATCATATTTCTCCTCATACATCTCGGGGGCCATGAACTCTGGGGTACCTTAAATTAAAAGAACGATTCAGACTCTAAATGTCTCAAAGCGAGCAGAGGCTGCTGGCGTTACTCACCGCAGGAGGAAGCGGATGGGGAGACCTGTGAGACAAGAGAAAGTGGAGGCAAAAAGAAGAGGGAGGAAACCCTTAGTCACTCTGTTGCATCAACATACTATGTGAGTCTTCCATTGCAAGGCCTTTATGTTGTAAGAATGGCATGAAAGGACTGCTGCAATTCCTGTTTTATGCGTGTTAGTTAATGTAAGTATCAAAACAGACTGGATCAGGCTGGAGTCAAATGGAGGGGAGGGGATAAGAAGAGGGAAAACTGCAGACTAGCCATAGGCTGCAAACCAAATACTAAGGAGAGTTAAGACACTTACCCTTTCTCCCTGTAAGAAAGGAGGCACATTAAACCTTGTTTCAAAAATTACCTGACTGCCCTCTGCTGCAAAAGAAGTAGTATTGGTAAGAGCCCACAGCTAGTCTCTGACCTGGTGCTCTCCATCTACTTTTTGAAGTAGAATGGTTCGGGAAAGGCCTTGCAATGAAAAACTCTGTTGTTACAAATATGTATCTTCATGAAAAAAGGATAAAAAGTAATTTTCTGCAAAGGCCACTCACCAGAGCCCTTTTCTTCATATACTTACCTTCCCACCTGCAGTATATTTATAGGCCTACTGCAGATACAGGCATTAGTGAGGGACATCCTACAGTCAAAAATACTCAGAAATAGAGAGATTGAGTTACAGGCATAGAGCGTGAGATTCAACAAGTCCCATTTAAATAGTGTGCAGAAAATTATTGCCCAGAGAGCATCACAGCATCCCTTCTGTAAGCAAAGGGACTGCATTGTATGATCAGATTTACTTTAAGCCAGAGATGCAAGTTTGCTTTTTGTAAATTTAAGCATAGAATTATTTCCTGCAGACACCAGATTCTAGACAGTTTACAGATCATTCTATAGCCACATTGCTTGTTTTCACCACACTAAACCAAAAAAAAGATGATGTAATTGCAGTCATTTATCCAAAGGCTAACCGTTAACAGATAGCTAGATACAAAGACGTAATTTTCTAATGATAAATTTGAGGATGACAAGTATGCTTAAGAAAAAAAATTTCTTTTTTTACACTGTATACTTTTATTTCCTATTAATACTTTAACCTGGTTAAGAAGCAGGAAATACTTCAGCAACAGCTTGCAAGACAATTTACAAGTATACATGATTGATCCCATCTAGGAATCTAGTTATAGGACTGTTGAGTAATACTGCATTTTAGCAAGCTCTAAATACTGAGAACAAGAGCAGCTTCATTCCCTGCAGTCTATTCACCCAACTATAAAAACAGAGCTGATAAAACCAATTCTTTAAAGAATTCACAAGAAAGACTATACTAGTTCCATCAAACCAATTTCTGAAAAGGATTATTAGTGGATATGTAAGAATGAGCATGCACAAGGCAGTATTTCCCCAATACATCCTCCTAACTTACATAAATCCACATTCTAGACTCCTCAAGTAAGGAATTATACCACAGTCTGACTGTGATGTAATATACAGAGAGAGAGAGTGTGACTTTCTTTGATATACCTTAGTTTCTGATTACTCAAAGTGTAAGAGATTTAATATTAACCCCTGGTGACAATAAAAAAAATTGGCTGTATAAATTAATGCTAGACTAAATATAAAAACATTGTTTGGTCACCAAAATGCATCTGTACATTTCTGGAAGCATCATATTAAAGTTGAGATTTATATGTTGTCAAGAGTGGTTTTATCAACAATGTTGCACTAAACTGTTGGGCAGGACAATGAACCTATATTCCAAAATACTTAATGTTAATATACAAAATATAAAAAGCACAACCAAAATTTCAACGTGTGATCTCATCAGGAACACAGAATGACCTCAACAGCAAAGAAACAAAGCCTTTTCAGGCTTTGACCATGTACCTCTGAAACCGTATTTTTAAGGAGAGCTCTTAAAAGACTCAGGTTTCCAGATAGATAGACTGGCTCACCAGCCTCCAAGACAGGAAAGGCTTACCTATCACACTTTTGGCAAAAGAAGCTCGTTTCAGGGTTGCCAGACCAAGGTCTCCAATCTTCACTGATCCAGTGGGGCCAGTAATGAAGATGTTGTCACATTTTAAGTCTCTGTGAATAATGGGAGGAGTGCGCGTGTGTAGAAATTGTAAGCCTTTCAGTATCTGACGGCACCAGCTTCGCAGTACTTTAATTTTCATCACTTTAAATCTTTTCAAATACCTAATGAAAAAAGTAACAGTAGGTTAAAAAGATTCTGCTAACAAGTAGTAGATTACACTGTATCATTTGCTATTCTGAAGTAAGAAAGCAGTAATTAGAGAGATGCACAAATTTCAACTTCACCTTTTATTTTAAAATGTGCTTGGGCATTTCAAGACTTCAGAGGAGCTGAAGATGATTGCCCCTGCTAAAACTTAAGCTCCCTTATTCAGAATTTCTACCCCCTTTCTTCTAGCCAGGAGACTATAGCGCTGAAAGATAAATGTGAAATGCTTGATCTACAGCTAATAATTAATTTGCACACAAAGTCACCCTATGGCAATTAGGCAGCTGACTTGCTAAGTTTCAAGGCAATGTCTCCCTGACAAAGAGTTAAAAGCTTATGCATTGCAATTCTCTACCTGTTCATTTAAGAGGGTTTTTTTCCTTCCCTACCTTTTATCCTGAAACTGCTTAAATAGTTATAACCTTTTCACTGATTAAATATAACTGGGTGGGGCACTGGAGCCAAAACGCTAATAACAACCAAGTACATACAGAGTTGTTGCAAACTATGCGAGAGCTCTGAAGTAGTTATACCTTAGTTATCAATATTAGTCTGAGTACTCTGGTCAAGAATGACAGGTTACACTTTAAACCTGCTTCAGATTCAGTTGTTGTCAAGCAAATTAGAAATTCTTAGAGATCATTTCCCTGGTGCAGGATGGGGTTCGATGACCTGAGTCTGACTGGTACTACTCACCACTTCAAAGTATGAACAGATATGGATAAGGCAGGGAAATCTTTTAAAAGGCTCTGCCAGATAATTGACATGGAAGAGTTCATACGTAAATTCAGTTACCTTTGCAGGTAGAATGTGACCCAACCTTAATTGTTCTAACATTGCTGCTTTTTAAAATCCCATGTCAGAAGAGTCAAATTTCATACCAAAAGTATTCACCAATGCTTATGACCTAAGACTACAATCTTACTCTACTCCTTAACTTCAACAGATCAGAGATGCATAGGTGAATAACCTATGACAGTATTCAAGTGCCTTCCAGCAGGCTATTCTCACAACCCCTCTTTGGGTAAAACAATTTTTGAATGCAGAGTTGTTGCTTTCTTCCTCTTGAAAAAATATGGGTTGAAATACATTTAGAAAAAGGCACTAGCATGCTGTGTAGAGCAAGGACTTTATTCTCGTTCAGCCAGTGTTACTTAGTCAAAATCTCAGTTAAAGACCAGTTTCACACTACTGCAAGACTGGTAGTAAATTCTGAGACCAGCATGGAGTCTAGCAACTACAATCTTAAAATAAAAGCAAGTCATGTTCAATTATTCCATGATAATGTTCGGTCTCCTCTTAATCAGGAGAAAATGTTTTGGAGAAATCACTTGAATCAATGCCAACATAAAAATGCGGTATATTAATCCCTTTTACTTCAATTTCTCCAGTTCAAAAGATGATCTGGAAAAATCAAGCTGCTAGCAATAATCCTGCTGTGAAAACAGATCTGTAAAAGCAGTCAGGACCCAGATCCAGAAGGAAATCAAGACTCAAAACAGAATGCAAAGACAGGAAAGGAAAAAGCCAAGCCAAGGAAGGAGACAAACTGAAGGAGGTTCTGGATCACATCAGTTGCCACTTGAATTCTTGCTATTGACACAACCCTCATTCATCTCTCTTGAGCTTGTTCCAAAGATCACATGGTAGGGGCACTTCAGTTCAGCATCTGGAATCCCTAATTACGGTCTTGGTTTCAAATATGCTAGTCTACTGCCAGCTTCTCGCTGTTAAAGGACCTGGGTCCAACCATCACCCAGCATCCCGCAGCGCTGCTGTCGTTTTTCCATAACACTGTCATGAACTAAGTCACATGTCACTTGAGGCAGAAACTATTTTAGAACGGAAGCATATAGAAATACATAAAAATACACAGACAACCTTACTAGCCAGTATGTTTTCATTTTTCCTTATATTACAGGATAACTCAGGCTCGAACAGACCTCAGGAGGTTTGCAGTCTAAGTTTCTGCTCAAGCCAGGGTCAGCCATAAAGCCAGACATGGTTTCTCTGGGCTGTATCCAGCCAGGTTGCTAGTATCTCCAAGGATGGAGCCTGCACAACATCTTGGAGCAACCTGTTCCACTGCCTGATATGACCACGGAAACAGCTTCTCCTTATATCAGGCTGAACCTCTTTTGTTCCAGTTTATGCTTGCTGTCTCTAGTCCTCCCACCATGCACCACTGCAAAGAGCCTGCCTGACTCCCTCACATGTCCTGGAAGGCTGCTGTTAGGTCTCTCCCAAAGTATCCTCTTCTTCGGGATGATCAAGTCCAGTTCCCTCAGCCCCTCCTCACAGAGCAGGTACTCCAGCACCTGACCATCTTGGTAGCCCTCCACTGAACTTGTTCCTGCTTAAATGAATGTCATTCTTGTCTGTTTTACAGGGTAGTAGTCAATTGAACAACAACAAAAAAAAGTTATTTGATCTTCTCACAGAATACAAGCAAAGATGATAACACAAGGCTTTCTTAATACTTCAACTCAATGAACAGAGAGAAACAAACTTGAGTTTGGCTTTCTCTCTCAAAGTTTTTTGGTTGTGTTTTGGTTTTGTTGGGGGGTTTTTTGTTTGTTTTTTAAGGAGGAAGGCTGCTGACCTATAGCACCTCAGCTCAAGGAGCTACAGGAAACCCTACTAAGTTAGCAGAGGTAGTTATGAAGATATGTGTCCTACCAGATACCTAACACATTCATTTAAAGTGGATCAGGGACACACACTACGCCTTTAGACAAAACTAGTGGCTGAGACCTAGGTCAGATTAAGTCTTAATTATACTACTAAAGAGGACAGCAACCTTTAAAATAGACAACTCCATTTTTTTTCCCCAATGTTTTAATTCCATGAATTAAAGTGCTTTCTAATATTGTATGCTATCTTTACAACTGCATTGTAAAACTTTTCCATTCATATGCATAAGTTCAGGGACTCTTCCGTGCAAAATCAGAAATTTGCCCAGACAGCATTTGAAAAGAATGAGTCCACAATACTTTAACATTATTTACATGTGTGTGTGTATAGCTAAATGTACACAAATACAAAAAAGAATGAGGAAAATTTACTTTAAGTTATCACCACACTTCTGTTCACTTTTTTTACGTGAAGTGACAACAATGTCTATGTCCCAAGTCTCAAAACAATGAAGGTATCACTTGTATTAAATGCAGGCAATGTAAACATACTGAAAAAAGATGTAGAAGCAATACTCAGTCAGCCAAATATCATAAGCAAACACAAGTGTGCAGTATAAATCTAGGAATATGACACAGGTACATGAAATACTTAATGACATTAAATTTGGCACATCAGAAATTTCCCACATAATTTACCTGTCAAGTTTTAAGTGAAGTGGACAAGAATAAACTAAATCACAGTTATAACACAAACGATACAATAGTGGAGAAAAAACCCACCCAAAAGTCTATAGTTTAAAAAGATCTTCAATTAAAGAGCCTATTAGATATTTCTAGATAAAATAAAGACCTTCATACTTCAGAGTACAAAATAATCCCAGAGTCAGCAAATCTAAGGTTTTTCTTCCTACCAACACGCTACTTTGTAACTGTCTATTATTACTTTATCATTATCATCTTGTTTATACCACCACATAACCAAGCCAATCCAAATATTAAAATCTGTGAGGAAGAGAAATAAGTAAGAAAGGGAGAAAAAAGTTATGCTAACACTACATATTCTAGCATAAAGCTAGGTAACTTTAAAGGCATCTGTACAGAACTGTAAAACCTTTATTACTGCTCTGAAAACAGCACATGAAGCAACAGATCTATTATTTTATCTGAAATACCTTGAACAACCTCAGAAAAGTCTTCCCTGAACATATGGCTAAAAAGAAAGTTGCAGTATCTTTAGCCCTCCAGTACTATTTCAAGAGACAAACACTTCCCTGTATCTGCAGTCCAGACTCCCAAAGAGCCATTTTTTCCTTCTTTAAGTATGCCCATTTGTGGCTATCAATACACATCGTAAAAGCACAAAGACATTCACAGGCTATTTTAACCAAATAGATTGCAAATTGTTTCCAGCTCCTACAGCCTGCTTACACATTTAGGATTTGAATGCCTCTCCAAGACTTAAATGGTCACTGAATTAAGACAACGACCCACAATTCCCGAATTTCAAATGCTGGCAGTTTTATTTCCAGTAGATTAATGGTGACTGCATGCTCGGGGAACAAGCTCGCAGCCCTGCAAGGCAAAGGGGCGATTGCAGTGTAACTCCCCACCGGCTCCGTATACCACTAGAGGGCCCTCGCAGCAGTTTGATTTGCTGGTTTCTACTTTAACCCTGGCTTAAAAAATAGACTTCGTTTCACTCAACTACTTCACGGGCTGAAATTGCAGGCAACTGCATACTTCCAGATTTTTGTTAGGTACTACTTCATGAAGTTTCAGCTAAACAAATAGGTGGTGGGGTTGTTTTTTTTTTTCCTTTTACGTATTATTTTTACTGTAGTAACATCCAAAACCTCCCAAAAGAGGTGAATTAATTTGTGCTTTGAACTTTACAAAGCAGCTCATAATAAATGGAAGGCAGCCGGAGCAGAAAATTAAAAATTCTGAGAAGTGAAAATAGAGCACTGTCTTCCTGAGCTCTCAAAACCTGAAAGTTTTCTGCATGTACTTACTACGACATCACAAGGAAGAATATGACAAGCTTGCTAACTTAAAGGACGTCCTACCATACCCTGCGGTGCTAGTAAGACTCCTCTTAAACAAGAATTGCCCTACAGAAGTTTAGCCCTCAGCAAAAGGGCTCTGTTCTTATCTGTTCTGAAATACGATCTATTTCTAGTGCTCTGATTTTGTGCTAATGATTCTTATATGCTTTGACACGCTTTTATTTACTTACGTTTTCAATGTTCCAGATGTCATGAGTTCTGTCACAAGAACAATACACTTTTTTCCTTTGACTGTAGACTCCCAGGAATCATAGAACCTGACAATATTGGGATGCTGAAGCCCTTTCAACATCCCAGCTTCCTCTTTAAATCTTTGTCGCTCTGACTTGGACAGCTTCCGATCCTAATGAAAAAGAAAAGGTACATTACGTCAGAAAGCTTTGCTTTATTTCTTACTCAGAGAAGCAGCAACTTGAAAAACAGTTGGATTCAGTCAACGAACAAGTAAGAATCGTAGTCTTAGATGCCATTTCATTTGCAATTACTCTTAAATACTCTATTTAGAAGACATTCTATTACAGTCTTTATTATCATACATTTTTCCTTACAATCTGATTGCTCTCAGAGGTACGAATTGTGAGTCTGGAGATTATCTCCTCTTCCTGTTTCTTCCTCCCCTACTCTAATATATTTAATCATTGCCTGACTTGAGGCAGAAGGGGGACATAATGTCCACAAATACTGAAGTGGTCAGGAGTAGACAAGATTGGATCACCACCTCCCAGGTTGTACATAACAATAATCTTTAGTTATTCCTATGCATATAATATCCAGACCACTGGTAACAGATTGGATTAACCCTCCATATAGAAGGTATAGCGTCAAACTTCTCTAACATATAGTATGTGCTTATAACTGTAGAAGAACAAGTGAATGAGCTGGATTTTCTCTGATTAAAAGCATGAGCTCATGATTGAGCAAGTTTCCTGTAATCCAGCATCAAGGGAAACAACATAACTCAAACTAGAGACAGAAAGCAATCTTTTGGCCAGAAACAGACCATGAAAAAGCATTCCTGGACAATACTGTTGTATTATCCACCAACAACTGGCTATCAGATATCATCAAGACTCTGAGAAGCTATTACCAGAATAAGCCGCACATCTCAAGAGAAAACAGACTCCTTGTGTCATTCAGTGTTGTCAGTTTATCAACAGCTCACCAATGCACTGGTCACACCAGTCAGATTGATTGACTAATGTAAATTGGACCCATATGCAGTTTGCATTAAAAAAAAAAAAATAAAAATCATTTCAGGATATAGTTAAGGCCCAGAATTTTAGAATCATTGTTTCTAACAGTTATTTAGGAAGAACCAGTGACCTCTTTGTCAAATCTGAATAATACTTTAAAATCACTTCATTCCATATTTCCTTTTCAATTAAAAGGAGGTAATAAAAACATGCAGGGTTTACTTATACAGCTCACAACCTCCTACTATCCTCCAGGCAGTAATTCTTCTTCCTCTGCTTACAGGTAGTGTGCTTTCTCAATACCATTCAGCCATGCTACTATCTAAACCATCCTATATTCACTTAGATCATTAACTTTTTCTAGGAAGTTCACAGAGTATCTTTGGCATGGAGGCATGGACAAACTTCATTTCCAGATGAAGCTCCAATTTTCAGAAGTATAGAAGTATTCCAGGTAAGACTTTGAAAACAGATTTGAAATTACCTCAGGGATCAGTATCTTATCAGTGCCTATGAATGTCAATCACACACATACTTCACCAGTTCTCAGGAAGATGCTAAATTCTTCAGCCTCGCAAATTTGGTCTATAGACATCAAAAGCATTCAATCCTGCAATTACTTCACTCTGCAGAAATTAGCACTACCACCTCTTCTCACTCCTTCATAAGCATACTTGCACAAACAAATTTTGATGTAAAATGTTTGCAGAAACACTCTGCAAACATGTAAGTAATCAGGTCTGCTTAGGTGTTGGGTTTTTTTTTTTTAATATGGAAGTAGCAACTTCAATTTGAGCTGTCTTACCCATCTAATAGCTTTCCTTTCATTACAATAAACAGGGCAGCTCAAATTCTGTTCAAAAACCAGTTAATCTTGACTGCTACAAACAGCTGTGATACAGAAAAGCAGTGAGCTGCAATAGGTCCATCAGTCAACAGACCATACACACATGCTTCTAAGAAACATGCAATGCTTCAAGCAGTACAAAAATCACAACATAGTCATTCTTACAGTAAAATAAAGCAGAGCTTTCTCAGCCTCTGCATGTGTTCTGTATAATCCTTTCAAAAGCAGTGTGGAGCTGTGACTCCGAGTATTATATATGGTAATTATAAAAACAAGGCTGCAACAATTACTTTTATATCACTTTTAAATTTAGCTGTGTAATATGAATCATAGAATGTTTGGGGTTGGAAGGGACCCCTAGAGGTCATCTAGTCCCACCCCTCTGCAGTGAGCAGGGACACTGCTAACTCGATCAGGTTGCTCAGAGCCCCATCCAACCTGGCCTTGAATGCTTCCAGGGATGGGGCCTCCACTGCCTCTCTGGGCAACCCGTGCCAGTGTTTCACCACCCTCGCTGTAAAGAATTTCTTCCTTCTGTCCAGTCTAAACCTACCCTGTTTTAGTTTAAAACCATTATCCCTTGTCCTGTCACAGCTGGCCCTACTAAAAAGATTGTCCCCATCTTTCCTATGGGCCCCCTTTAGGTACTGAAAGGCCGCAATCAGGTCTCCTCACAGCCTTCTCTTCTCCAGGCTGAACAGCCCCAACTCTCTCAGCCTGTCCTCATAGCAGAGGTGCTCCAGCCCTTGGGTGAACACCTGCATTCATTTTTGTCCAAAACCTAGATTTTAGATATACATTTGGATTAAATTTCCTTTATTTTATGCATTCTAACAAGTTATCTACCATAAACACTACTAACCAGTTTTAGACTACACTTGACATTAAGTTCTCATCTTAATCTATGTAAACCTAATCTCCCTTAAGGGCCTTATTCAGTTTTCCCTACCACAGTACCACTAGCCCCAAATAGAAACTAACAAGTGCTAATCACTCTTATCAATGAACAGACTCTTAACAGGCACACATATTTTGACTCATTTCTCTTTCTGGTCACATCAATGGTAGCATCGTGTTCCTGCAAACACATCTGTGACGTTTAAAACAGACACTCACTTCAGTGCTGGCATCACAAAAAAAAAACAAACCCACCCCACACCAAGACAGTGACAATATACTTAGTAATTCAAGAATTCTTTGAAAGTCACAGTGTCCTAATGAGCTGGGACAAGTCTGGACACAAAACACAGCCCAACAAATTTCACCCAGGGAAGACAGCTGTGTTTTTGCAACCAAGGAAAATCACACCCTTCAGCAGCATATTGCAGCAGCAAAAGTGAACGCTAAACAGAGCTGTGAAAGAAAAAAGACAGAGAGGCCACTTGTTTCATAAGACTAGCAATGCATTCTACCTTTAACCACCCTCATTTCCTTGGATACACAACCCATACACTCATCCATAACAGTTATTTAAATCCTTTCACTAAAGGAACACTAATGCTGGGTAACAGAAAAAGGTGACTATGCTTTAATAAAAAAAAAAAAAAAAAAAAAAAAACAAACCACCACACACAACTCTAGCATTCAGGAGAATATTAGATCTTACATACAATTATACCAACAAAACGAATCTGTATACATGATGACTGGTTTACTTGTACAAACTACATTCTAATGCAACCTGCAAATAGTTAGGCTACAAGCTAACGTGCTATTTAAAAATTACAAGTACACTTTCAAAACCTGAGTATTCCATACACCAGAACCTTAAAACGTATTAGACAGTAAGATCTCCCAGACTGCATAGAGATGGACTAGAACAAAGCCCATCCCAAATACTACATTTTGACATCCTTTGAGCTTTTAGTATGGGCAAATGTGACAACTTTATGCTCTTTCTTGTGCAAAGATGCAATTTAAGCAGCCGCTGCTACTAAAATATTGAGACGAGAAAGAAAAATAGAGCACCATAGGTAATTTGGGAGACTGAGAAATGGTGCTACCAGCTATGTTCGTATGAATACTTGGGGAAAAGCAGCGTAGTGAGAACACCTTGGTATCACATGAAGTCCACACACGAAGTTGCTGTACAGCAGGGCTGTAGCAGAGAGAAAGAAGCCATCATTGCTAAATGAGAATTTAGAAGAGCATTTTTCAAGAATTTGGGAAGGGGACAGCTTTCACAATCCTCAGTTGTAAGTGTACACTCCAAAAGACTCAAAAGTCCAGATGTGTCTTTCCAACAAGGCAGCTACCTGGGGCAATACTCAGATTCCACTGTGGCCTTTGAGCAGGAGTCTGCAGGAACTCAAGACCCTCAGCTCTTTCTCCACCGTAGCAAAAAGTTTGTGGCATATCATTCAAAATAAGTACTCCATTTGATTGACATTATCTCAGGGGTGAATCAAATAAGCAGATCTACCCCCTGAAGCCTTTTTCCTGTAACTCATGGTCTAAATAGGTATATGGATGGACCATTTCAGCATGTGAGGGTGGTTAAAGGTAGAATGCATTGTGTTTTCATCTGGAAGCAAAAGATAAGAGGTTTCACAACTTAACATTCCAGTCTCACAAAGTAGAAGATTGGCTAAACAAATTTAATGTTTTCTTTGATTTTTATTTTATTTTTAAAACAAACAGCCAGAAACTAAACAAAATAGAAAAACACATAGGATGCTTTTTTGTAAGCCTGGGAAACTTGAACAATTTTATAAAGAAACCACCACTTTAAGAACAGTTAATAATATATGGCTTGATATCCTATTCTTCAAAGGCCAATTTGCTTTGGAATTCCTACTAACAATATTAAAAACTGCATACGCTCTCTCCTCCCCCAGTCTTTTTTCTTTTTTACCTTAATGAAGCGACCTTAGGCAGAGAAGACAAAGTCTAGAAGTAGGCAAATCACATTCTTGAATCTCAGCTAGCACATGCTGAGCAGATATAGCCCAAATATTTAAAAATATACAAAGCTGTCAAACTGTAGGAGAGCTTGCTTCCTAAAATGGATTTAACTATCCTACAAAATGGCCAGCATTGTTCTTCCCAAACTGATAGCTTCCCCGGAGGACTTAAGTGTCACATCCCAATCACTGGGCTGCCCTTCGAACAAACTGAAACAGATGCATCAAGCCCACTCTGTTCATTTCATTCATTCCTTTCCACCTACATTAAATTGTTTTGACAAGCCAGGACAAACAGCAAGGCTTCCCAGCACGTGACCCACCGTTCTGCAGTGCCAGGGGCCTGAACGGAGAAAGGCAGCAAGTGAAACAATTGTTCAGCTCAGAACGATTCAATAAC